TATGAAGAAAGGAGATACCTGTTCTGAAATTGCCTTTCAGAAAGACTTCTCAGCTAAGATAGAAACCTTAGTTAAAATAGAAACATAGAAAGAGACTAAGTACAAAATCAACTCTAAAATCTAAGTAAAAACCAAGAGCAAAATAAGGCTCAAAGTCAAAAAAAAGCCTAATCTAACTAAGTTTTAACCTGACCTGAAAGTGTAAATTTGTATAAAATTTATAATGAAAAAGAAGTATATGCAGGCAACCAAGTCTGACATCAACTATATACAACTAGTAGACCCAAAAGAAGATCTAAAGAGAATTAGGAAGAATGATTAAGGCCCTGACTAATATAAAACTAAGAACAATCAGAACTATTAATAGATATGACTATAGATAAAGCAACTCTAACTCAACTTGGACCACAAAATAAACCTAAACAAAAGTGAAGACTATTAGTAGTTGATTTAATTCCACCTTATAATATTGTAAAAGACCTTTTGAACCAACTAGCAAAAGTAATTTACAGTCAAATGCTTCAAATCTCTAGGCAAAGAAGAAACCTTGTATAAGCATTATGTAGACTACTTGTCCCTCAGGAAGAAAAAACCAATTTTATAGATCCAAAATTATATAACAAAACTACTACAACTAAATATTATGTTAAAATAAAAGAAAACCTGGTACTGGCAGTTTTAGATTCTAGAGCTGCAGTTAGTATAATAACAAAGAAATTGTTAGATAAACTTGGACTAATAATCAATAAGCTATTAGCTATAGTCATTATCATTGCTAATAGCAATTAGGAAAGATCTTTAGAATAATTAACAGAACTAAAATTAGTAATTAGCAGAGTAATAGTTCAAACTAACCTCCAAATTATTGAGTTTTCTGAAGAAACTTTACTTCTAGAGATCAACTGATTTAAGAAAGTATGAGCTAGAATTTATTTTGATAAAGGAAAACTCTTCATAAAGTAGCTTAGTAAACTAGTGGAAGCTTCTATCTACTAGTTGCAAGGCTTTAAATTAGAAAAATTATCTAAAACTAATAATAACAAAGATGATGATAATGATTATTTTGATAAGTATAAAGAGGAAGAATTGAAAGAGTTAGAAAAATATCTTTCCAAAAATACAACATTTGATGAAAAGAAATTATATACAAACCCATAAGATGATATATACAGCCTAGCTATCTACTTAACTACAATCGAAGAAATTTCTACTTCTGAAAATAATACTCTTAAAACAACCCTAGAAAAGAATATCAAAAAATTAGTACAGATAGAAACATTAAATGAAGAACAAAAGAAAGTAGTAATATGTATATTGAACAGATAAGACAAATTATTTGCTACTAAACTAAGCTAATTAGACCAAACTACAGATGTTCAGCATGAAATAAATACTGGAGATGCAAAACTAATTAAGCAAAATGCCTATTAGGTATTACCAGATGAGCAAGAATTTCTAAAAGAAAAAATTAAAAAAATGTTAGAAAATGATTTAATTGAGAAAGTAAAAAGTCTCTAGACTTTACTTGTGGATATAGTTTTTAAAAAAAATAGAAAACTATGTTTTTGTGTCGATTATTGAAAACTCAATTCCATCATGAAAAAGGATTCTTACCCACTACTATGAATCAATAATCTGCTTGAAACTTTTGGAAAAGCCAATTAGTTTTTAAGTTTAGACTTAGCTAGTAGCTGCTAGCAAATGCTAGTAAGAAAGAAAGACTAAGAAGAGACAGTGTTCATAACCAAACAAGGGGTTTATGTCTTTAAAGTAATGCTATTTGGTTTATGTAATGCTCTGGCTATATTTCAGAAGACTATAAACTATATTTTGTATAAATATAACAACAAATTCATTGCTGTGTATTTGGATAAAATTATTATCTACTCCAAGACACTTACCTTGAACACTCAACCACTTCTAACAAGTTTTTAAAAAGATTAAATTAGCTAGATTAAAACTGAATCTTGAAAAATATGAATTTTTCAAAAATAACCTTTAATTCTTATGCTATATAGTAGGAAAAGATAGTATTAAACCCAACTAAAAAAAGATAACAAATGTCCAAAACTTCCTAACACTAACTAACCTAGGCAACTAAGAGGCTTTATTAGATTGGCCTCTTATTATTGATATTTCATAAAAAATTTTTTAACTATTGCCAAACCTTTATATAAATTATTAGAAAAAGGTGTAAAATATGAATAGAGACAAACTTAAGAATAGGTATTTGAAACATTAAAGACTCACCTTACTATAGCACCAATTCTAAGGTATTCAGATTTTGATAAAATTTTCTATCTCTATACAGATATATCTGAAATAGCCTTGGTACTGTATTAGCTCAAAGAGGAGTAGACAAAAAAGAGTATACAATAGTATATACAAGTAAGAGCTTAACCTAACTAGAAAGAAATTACTTTATAACAGAATTAGAGTATTACAAGTAATTTGAGCTGTAGAACACTTTTATCATTACTTAGGATTTAAACTATTCATAGTGGTAATAGAACATGCTACTCTAAAATAGTTATAAACAATAGTACTAAAAGGAAGAAAAATCTACTAGATTTTACATCTTCAACTCTATAATTTTACTATAATATATAGAGCTAAGCAAAAGCATAACAATGCAGACTTATTATCAAGAATAATAGAAGAGGAACCAAAAAACTTATCATCCCAGAATTACCAAAAAGTCCTAGAAACTCATAATATAGATTCAATCAAAGAAGTGGAAATATTCCAAACCCAAATCAAAAGTTATCCATCTGAGGAGCCTGAAGATAAGGAAAAAGATTGGACAAATTGGTCAGAATAGTCATTAGAATACAAAAAAACAAAAAGTAAAGAGGAAGAAGTAATTCCCACTAAAGAAGAACAAGAAAGACTATATCAGAAAGAATTATAAACTAAAAACAATAAAAGGAAAAAGGATACAACTACTTATAATAATATTGAAATCTGTGAAGTCTACATAATAATGAGGGACTTCAGAAATGAATCTGAGATAAGTATAGAAGAATTCACAGAGATGAGTAATGATAACATATAGTGGACTTCTAATACACATAATGAAGAAAATTCTAAGTCATCTGAATAAGAAGTAACTGACAAATTTGAAACTTGTGACTATTTGGAAGAAGCGAAAGGAGAAACTAGCACCTATTATGATGATATCAAGTACTATAAAAGGTTTATAAAGAATTTAGTGATAGAGTTCAAGAGAGAAGTAACTGAGGCACTACAAGATGATCTAGAAAAAGAAGAAGAAGAAGAATTATTAAATAGTAGAAATTCAACTCAGAAAGCTCAAGTTATTAATACTACAGAAGAAGTATTTTGTATAGCTATTGAGCTCTATTTTTTAGAATAAAGTGAGGAAGATAAAGAATATGATGTAGAAAGAGAAATTATAAATCCTAAAAGTAATAATAAATAGAATAGTGATTACATGACCAGATTTTATGAAGAAGAGACCAATGATATAAATAATAACTAAGAAGAATAACTTACTCAGTATTAGTATAAGGTCTGGTACTATTGACTCTTATAGAACTTAGCACTTGAGTTCAGAAGAGAAATAACCTAGATACAACAAAATGAGTATGAAGAAGAATATTACCTATTAGACAATGAAAATGAAGCTAATGATAGAAATGAAATCTATTTTATTGAAGCAAATACTAGAGAACTTGAATTAGAATTAGACCAAGAGACTAAAAGGGTAGTATATGATAATTCTAAAAGCAATAATTATTATGATAAGAATAGTTACTTCAATAAGATGCCAGATAGTTTAAGTGCTGATGAAGCCTAGTAGGATATGGATATCTATTAGAAATAAAAAAAAAAAAAAAAAAAAAAAAAAAAAAAAAAAAAAAAAATAAAAGAAATAAAAAACAAAAAAAAAAAAAAAACACAAATTTAAAGTGTAAAAAAGGGCAAAATTAAAAAAAAAGACAAAGACAATCTAAATAAGAAATAATTGAGAAAAAAGTAACTCATAAAACCAAAAAAATCTAAAAAAAAAAGAATTGACCAAGTACAAGATATAACTACAAGAAAGAACAAGATACTAACTAATTCAAACTATATTTATGACAAGAAAGATTAGAAGAAATATAAAAACTAAAAGTAAATCAAATACTCAAATCTGAAGACAACAATTTAGTCTAGATTCTGATATCCTAGCATTAAGTAAAAATAGATCAACAATATTATATAGTATTAAAGACCTATATTCAACACTGCCAATACCTGTTGCATTACACTAAGGATCAAAAAAAATAGTTAGAAGCTCAAAGCTAATTCTTCGT